CACAACACTTCCGGGAGGACATCCATCCCACTCATACCTGCAGTTTCGGCTCCAAATCACCAGTAGCTTCACCCACCAGCCGAATCGCCGATCCCCACAACAAACACCTAAAAAAGGAAGCTGTACAGTTGTACCAACACACAACCACCACCAAACATGTCGCCCGCATCCATCATCACCACTTTCGCCCTTTACTTTTGCGCTACAGGCCCTAAAAACGTCCTTTCTAAATGTCTCACAGCCAGTAAAGTAAGAATCTGGTTCAAACAGCACAAAATTCACTTCGACCAAATTAACAAAGGTTTCCAAATAATTTTCCCAGACCAGGACTCCCTAAACGCAGCAAAATAAATCACCCAAATCTTCCAATACACAGTAACTGATCAAACCCCAAACTGGCGGCTATTCACTAGGGGCGTAATCAGAGTAAATCCTAAAGAAAACAACGAAGACTTAGACATGTACGCACAAGACGCTAACGATAACCGAGATATGTACCCCCAACCTAAAATAACTAGCACCCGAAGAATAACTTCAAATAGAAACGGTAAAATCTCAAACACACCAATAGTCTAATCAATTTCCAAAAATCAGCTAAATATCCAGAAGCACATAAATTTATCTCCTTCGGAGCAACCACTAAATTAGAAGTCAAACCAGACATAAAACAAGTTAAACAATGCTCTAACTGTCTCCGATACAACCATACAGCCAATCAATGTAAATTCCAAAAAACAAAATGCAGGAAATGCGCCCAAACTGACTGCCCAGGGACATGCACACCCTGGTGCATACACTGTAAAAGCATACAACATTCCTCACTATCCAACCACTGCCCTCATAGACACACCCTCACACAACAGGCCAACAAACACATCAATATCGACACGGCCTAACTCCAAACAAAAAGACAAACACAGCATACAAAACAACCAAACAACACCCCACACTTAAACTCGGCATGGGATGGCATCCTGCAAAGAGTACACCCAGCACCCAAAACACACATCCACCACACATCCATCCCACAACCCTCCACCTCCACTAGCACATTCACAACATCCACAACTGCACGCAAAACAAGCAACAATACGCCCGCTACAACCCAACCCGGCACCATACAAACCACAGTCGCTACGGCAACAACAACCGATCCCAAGCAATCACAACCCGAAAACCCAGACGGTAAGGAAACCACATCCAGACCACTACCACAAGCACGCACGCAAACCACCCCCATGGAATGTGAGGAAACTAATCTTAACAACACAGAAGAATACGAATACACAACCGAGGAAGACATAAACGAAATAACTCTCTCAGCCCCCCCCCCCCCCCCCCAAAAAAAACAACAACAACAAACAAACAAAACAAAACAAAAACAAACAAAAAACTTTAAATGCAGGCCTCAGCAAATGTCAAACAACAAACTAAACAACTTAACCATCCTTCTCGCATATATGCTAAAGGAAATAAATCAAACGCTAGCACTAAAGCTTTCTATACCGTAGCAAATAAGCTTAAACTGACAACCCTCACCTACACATTCTTCACCATAGGCCTAAAATGAGTTAGCCCTACCTCAACCAAGTAAAAACCCCTAGCCTAAATCAAACCTAACCTCCAAACACTAAAAGCCCAAATAATGGAAGGCCTAAACATATTTCAGTGGAATGCCAACGGACTTAATTCCCACGGCCACGAACTAAAAGCAAAATTTAAACAAGATAAGGGTCCGCACATTGCCTGCATCCAAGAAACCAAATTCTCAAAAAAATCTAAATTTACTCTACCAAACTACAACTCAGTTAGAACAGACCGAGCCAAACCTAAAACCGCTAGAGCCGCAGGAGGATTAATAATACTAATCAGAGAAGACATTAACTATGAAGTAATCAAAATAAACACACCAAACCTAGAAGCAAACGGCATCCAAATAACTCTCAAAAACCGAAAAATAAACATCATAAACATATACCACTGGGCAGAACAAAAATTTCAAGCTGAGGACCTAAACAAATTACTCCAAATAAGCAATAAATCAACTATATACCTAGGAGACTTTAACGCTCACCACCCCACCTGGAGCATAGATGAAAAAGTAGATAATCATTGCAAACTAATCTCTGAATGGATAAAAACAAATCGCCTTCTACTCCTAAACAATAACCAACCAACTAGATACGATAAGAAAAACCATAAAATGTCGGCTATCGACCTAACCATATGCACCCCAGATCTGGCCCAAAGTACTCAATGGGAAGTTCACGACGCCCCACTAGGTAGTGATCACTTCCCTATAAACACTACCATAGGCAATACAAACGTTCCTACCCAAACAGTAAACCTAGAACCAAAATTCAACTATAACCAAGCTAACTGGGACAAATTTCAGGATATCTGCAACCAAGCCAACCTAACCAAACTAGAAAATAAGGACCAAGAAATCTACTGCAAAAACATAACAGACTACATAATTAACGCAGCCAAAGCACCAATACCTTATAAAACAAATAAAGTAGGCAAACTCTCGGTACCATGGTGGAACGAGGAAATAGAACAAACTAGACGCAAACGTAAAACAGCCTTCAATAGAGCCAAACGCGACCATAACCATATAACGGTAGCTCACGAACTAAACCACAAGTCCAAAAACTAGACAAAATAGCTAAAACCAGAGATTGGAAATTTTTTTGTGAAGGAGTAAATAATCGCACAGATGCCAGAACAGTCTGGCGAAATATCCACGCCATTAGAGGCTTAAAACGTCACCAAAAAAACACCCAACATAAACAATTCAACCAACCCTACCGAAAAGGCAAATAACCTAGCAAACCACTTCTCGGCCATAAGCAGCAACAATAACTTCAGCGAAAAATTCCAACAAAAACTTAAAGCAGAAGCCAAACCTACTAAAGAACCAAATAATGATAACCTCGAAATAAACCAACCTTACTCAATGGAAGAACTCCAGTACGTACTCTCCAAAATAGGAAAAAGGGAACTGCCCCGGGACTAGACCTAACATCCTACCAAATAATAAAAAAACTCCCCCCCCCCCCCCCCCCCAACCTACTACAGGCACTACTTAAACTATATAACCTAATCTATCAAAACGGACAGGTACCAATTGCAACTCCCTGGAAACAGGCACTAGTCATCCCTATCCCTAAGCCCGATAAACCAACTAACCGGGCAAATTCTTATAGACCAATGCAATATCCATAACCTCAAACCTATGTAAAGTAATGGGTACTGATTTTGTGCATTTTTAGGAAGCATGTGCCTTTTGATTCTCTGGGACCAATCATTGTTTTAGAAATGAAAATTCATTGATTTGTCACTACTTCTACGATCACTACTGTTACAGTGCCTATGTGTTAAAATGTAACAGCGTAATGTAACAATGAATACAACGGTTTTGCTGGCACGGTCTGCCAAAGCTAAAACGGATGGCCAGAAAACGGGGAATATGTCAAGTATCAGTAACAGTAGTGACGAAGGATGATAACAGTTGTAACTGAAATGGTACAAAATAAGATTCTGCTTTACTTACATAACCAATCAAACAAATATATTTAATTTCATGTTAATTCAAAATTCAAAAAATATATTCAACATTAGCAGACTCACAATCATGATTCCAACAATAATGGGTTTGGCAAATATTTGTAACAGTGGGGACACTTAAATGTACCAGTAGTGAACAGATATTTTGAAATTTTGTCAAAAGGGTATATATATATAAGAGCATTATTAAATTTTCATAGCTGTTTTGAAAGAATAATATCTACAAGTTTGACATTGTTTGACAGATTTGTTTGAATTGTATAGCTCAAATGACCCAGTCTCATGTGTTTTAGTTGTTTTGTAACAGTGGGGACAAAATGTAAAAGTAGTGGCAACTGATTTAATGTTGTAAGAAAATGAGGTTTTCACTTCTTTAGAATGACGTTTAAAGTTACATTTCTCATGTTAATACTATTTCACAAAAAAACTGCTACAGATTTCATTGAATTACTGATAGTTTTGCTACATTTTTATATTTTGTATCAGTAGTGACAAGGGACGTTTATAGTTTGAAAGAATATCTTGAAACTCAGTTTTATTTAATTTGAATAGGTTTTTCAAAACATATCTCTTCAGGTTATACAAGAATTTATTTGAACTGAAAGATTGGTAGACGTGATTTCTCCACTATTAGTTTAGCGGTACAGTAGTGATAAAGAGTTATGAGGGTGACAAACTGGTTTCAAATAAGATTCAGAGACTGTAAAACAAGAGGGATGACTTCAACTTTCCAATGGTCAACATTCCCGTTATGTCGAGCAATATTCCAGCAGCCCCAGCTCTTGGTGTCACATAACATGTGCTTGTTCCTATTACATTGTTTGTTGAGTTGAAAAACTGAATGTGGCAGTCATATGTATTTTAAAATTTCCTCTTGCGTCAACAAGTCACTACTGTTATGAATGACAGTAAATGTTTATAAATTTATAATTGTTTTTTTTGTTTTATCTGTTATTACCTAACAAAAGAATATGTTAAGAAAGAATACTCAAAGAACAAACGATGCTTTAGCACGAGAAGACTTGTGTAACAATTTCAAATTTTATCAAAATGTAAATTGACAAACCAAATCCTATTTTCTTCAATTGGGTTTCTTTGGATTTTTTGTGCATGACTCTTCACAGAAAATGATAAACTCGCTTACAATCTCAGTTCAACTGACAGTTTTAAAAACATCCCTACTTTACAACATGCTACAGTAGTGACATAAAATTTGCATTTTACGTTTTGAAATGTATGCCAAAACAATACTAGGATTAATCAAAATGTGCACTTCAACATATATATGTGTTTTGATTTATGAACATGAAGGTAGGAAAAGAAAACATTTTGTTAATCCAAAGGTACAAAATATCTTACAAATTCAGAACACGACTCATGTACATTATTCAGTTATGGGTATCATTCATTTATGTAAATCACACACTCACCAGCGGTATCAAACGCTTGGCATAGCCCTTGTTGCACCAAAACCAAGAACACAAGACAAAGCCACATCATCCACGACCGAGCGTCAACAGTGTTTGCATGCTTCTAAACACGTCGTGGCCTAATATAATTATGACGTGGTAGTGACTTTATACCACCGCTGGGTGAGTCTATTCATGTCGGCTAATACATTATTTATGAATTATTTTTTTTTAACCATGTTTTCGTTTGAGACACATACTACTGCAATATTGTTAAGTTTGGATTATGTTTTTCGTCCGATTAAATAAATTGGTTCATCAGTTGTTTAAAGAAACTTTTATTGTGTTTAAGAAAATTGCAGATTAAATTACCAGTTTACTGCATTAAGCATTGACAAACTGCCATTGTCGTTATCATCCACGACTTCATATATCGGATATTCAAGGACATTGTCAACAGATGTTGACGATGATACTGGGGTGCGGGGTTGCAGCGGCAATACAGTCTGTAGTTGGTGGTGGATGCAACATTTACACGACTGGGCCACGTGTGGGAATTTAACCCATGTACATGACGCCAATAGGATACTAAGGGACCTATGACGGACCAATATGGTTTTAATTTTGTTAATTTAAGGGGGGTGGGGGGCTATAATTATGCTTCAGACTGTTGAAAAAAAGGGAATTGTATGGCACAAAAATTACATTGTTGCAAGGTTTCTTTCTGAGAAACTTCAGGGTCAAAGTTACCTGCCCCTCTCACCAAAAGCCCCACCCCCAACTCCACCCCCAGCCCCATTCACAAGGGTTCACTATGATATTTTTGTATGTCCTACGTATGACTTTGTATGTCCCATGATGGCCACTATGACATTGACAGCTACATGCTGGCGACATCTGACCTCTAAACTTCCAGGAACTATTTTGATGACATCATGCGCGATCTGCAGTGTGAGGGCACTAACCGATAACTCAAATCATTAGTTCCCTTATTTCTTTTCGGTAGTATAATATACATGTATGTACTTTTCGTGAAATGTGTAACAGTATTTATAAAGGTTCACTATTTAAGGAATATGTAACATTCTATCCCTTGAGTGAATCAGGCAGTGTACAAAATACCGGAGGATTTCACGAATAATAGGGATTTTGTTTAGTTTTTGTATAATTGATTTTGTTTATGTAATTTGGATGACATTGGTCCCTTATTGTTATAAACGAGCGAATAAATGTTTACTACTACTGCTGCTACTACTACTACTGCTGCAACTACCACTACTGCTGCTACTACTACTACTCCTACTACCACTACTGCTACTACTACTTCTACTACTGCTGCTACTACTAATCCTCCTACTGCTGTTGCTACTGCTGCTGCTACTACTACTACTGCTACTACTACTACTACTGCTACTACTACTACTGCTACTACTACTACTACTACTACTACTGCTACTACTACTACTGCTACTACTACTACTACTACTACTACTACTACTACTACTGCTGCTACTATAACTACTAGTAATGCGGACCTGCGCATTGACATAAAAGCGGGTAGCGACAACTTCACCGCAGACAATAGCATTTGGCGTTTGTTTTCCCACCTTTAAAAAACTTTTACATGCCAAAAGATGAACTCGTTCTTATTGATCATACCGCTGGTAACCCCATACTTCTGACCCATATAAAAGTATTGGTAATACCTGTGTATCAAATATTCATATTATATTCAAATTTATGTGCATTTCCACCAAAGCCCGTTTTCCACGATTTGCTAGATCAGCAATACACTTTGACATCTACTTTGACATCTTGAAAGTTGAAGACAATATTACACGCAAGTACGTATAACTGTTAACTATGGACAGGGGTGTGTCTATGTATGTCCATTTCTCCTTGGCATATAGGGTGCCTCCCCTTCTGAAAACGTTTGATTTTTGTATGTTAATAGTTATTCCCCATGTACCTGCGATTCGCTGTGCAGAGTTGCGTCCTTTGGACACGCCAGAAACCAATGATTGTGGATTTGAATCCCGGTTCGCCTCGATTATGTTTTTAGGTTTGTCAGCACCATACCCGTGCTCGTGGGTTTTACAAAAGTGGGAAACGTCTGAGACCTGCATCACTTCGGGATTTCCTGCCACATTAAGCTGACACGCCTAGATATAACTGGAATACTGTTAATAGCGGTGTTAAAGCCAACTCTCTCACTGATAAATACAAAATTCTTTGGAATAGGCCCGTTTACAACCCTAGACCTATCCAGGCCAACAAACCTGATGTTGTCTTTTTTGATAAATCCAATGAAATCATTTATATTATTGAATTTTCTGTCTCATTTGACACAAATGTGGTTGACAAGATTGAGGAAAAACATTGAAAATATGCAGACCTCGCTTTCGAAATGTCACGCTTGCATCCCAAGTACCAAGTTGTCTGACTCCCCATTGTTCTCGGTTTGGTACCTCCAAATCTGTTGACTGGCATCGGGAGAGTACCCGGGTTTGCTACCAGGAATACAGCCCTTCTGACAATCTGGGTAATGCAGAAGGCTGCAGTGATGGGGAGTCTTCACATTCTCCGAAAAGTTCTGGGTGGGTTTGACTAGGCAGCGCTTCCTGGGAGAAGTCGCATTCACTGTCTGGGCTGCGTGTAGAGGGGGTAAGGGCCCTGAACTGATATTTAAAAAAATGAAACACCCGTTAAACTGCAAATAAACAAACGGCAGGACATACACCTATATATCTTTTGGTGACATCGCTGTCAGAAAACATGGCTGTGTTATTTTAACAGCTGCACGTAAATTGTGCACATCGCATGACAATCTGCAACCGACCTTTGATACTTTCATTGATAAACCATTTGTCACATCGATTTCACTGTAAGATGTCCAACCAAACCAAACCATGACTCACTACCACATCGTGATGACACTAGGTATCCGTGCAAAGGCAGAACGTCATAGCATTGAGTGAGTGAGTGAGTTGGGTTTAACGCCGCTTTTAACAGTATTCCAGTTATATCACGGCGTGTCAGCTTAATGTGGGAGGAAAGCCCGTAGTAATGCAGGTCTCAGACGTTTCCCACATCGGTGAAACCCACGAGCACGGGTATGGTGCTGACAACCCTAAAAACATAATTGGGGAGAATCGGGATTCGAACCCACAATCATAGGTTTCTGGCGTGCCCAAGGGACTCTTCATAGCGAATCGCGGCGCCTTAGACGACTTAGACGACTTGGCCACCCGTCTCCCCGATAGCATTGAAGATGAAAGAAAAACACACTTGTATAGCCCCAATCGATTCTGCTGCATCAGAGGTTGGTTGGTTGGTTTGTTGTTTAATGCCGCACTAAGCAATATGCCAGCTATATGACGGCGGTCTGTACAAAACCGAGTCTGAACCAGACAATTCAGTGATTGATATCATGAGCATCGATCCACGCAATTTGGATATGCATCAACCAAGTCAGCGAGCCTGACCACCCGATCCCGTTAGTCGCCACTTACGACAAGCATAGCCGCCTTTCAGAGCAAGCATGGGTTGCTGAAGACCTATTCTACCCCGGATCTTCACGTGTCCGCATCCGAGGTGTCATGTCCATCCCTCTGGCATGCGAAGCTACACTGGTATTTCCAATTTCCCCGACACTTACAGACAAGGGTAAGTTTAACATGCATTTGATAAAGCGCTATTCTAGTATTCTACTATTCTCGAGTGCTTCATCATTCCTTTTGGATTAAAAACACATTCTTGGTCGGACCTTATAGACAAAGGACGAATCTGATCGTGTGACCCTTAAGTTCAAGATGGACTTTTACAGTGAGTATATCGGATTTCAACAATACGCCAACACTATCACATAGTGATAGGAGTGAATGAGTTGTGTTTTACGCCGCCTTTAACAATATTTCAGTTGTATTACAATGCGTCAGCTTGGTAGGAGGTGAAAACTAGACCTTGTGACTCTCATAGGCAACATTTTGTGAATCTTAATCAGAACGAATTTGGCATCGTACTCATCTACAGCGTATCCTGGCACAGCTTTGATACGCACCTCCGCGTAGCGTATTGCAGCGACTGAGACTCCCGTATGGCAAGCCGTTTTCACATTTATTACGGAATTACAGATATCTTCAATTGTTTTAAAGATATCTTGAAATGAATTGAAGATATCTTGAATGGAATTGAAGATATCTGGCATGGAATTGAAGATATCTTAAATGCAGATAATTGTAGATATCTGCAAAAAAATTAAGATATCTTCAATTGTTTTAAAGATATCTTGAAATGAATTGAAGATATCTTGAATGGAATTGAAGATATCTTGAAAAGAATTGCTGATATCTTAAATTCGATTATTGATATCAAAATATGATTTAAAGATATCAAAATGTCATGTTCTGTTATAATGTCATTAATTCAATTCCTGATATCTTGAAACTAAATACAGATATCAATAATTAATTATAGATATCTTCAATTGTTGCCATTATTAAAGATGTTACATTAATAATGTTACTTAAATTAGATAACTGATATCAATAATTGATATAAAGATATCATCAAAAGTATTAATGATATCTTTAATTGGATATTTGATATCAGTAACGGTCAGAATTCATGATATCTTGAATTGAATTAAAGATATCTCTAATTGAATTAAAGATATCTGTAATGCATTTGTGGATATGTATAACTTATTTCAACATATCTTAAAATTGAATTTAAGATATCTTGAATTTATTTCTAATATATTTATGTATTGTAGGATGGTCATTGTTTAATGATATCTTAAATACATTTAGAGATATCACAAACTAATTTGTTGATATCACCGTAACATTTTAAGATATCAGTCATTGTATTATGGATATCAGAAATGAATTTAAGATATCTTTAATTATTTTTTGATATCTTAAAAACATTATTGATATCTTTAAATAAAATACCGATATCTTTAAAACAATTGAAGATATCTGTAATTCCGTAATAAATGTGAAAACGGCTTGCCATACTCCCGGGCTTGCCATGTCACATAAGGTTTAATTGCTACAAGTGTACGAGTATGTCGACCCCACTGTCATTATAATTGCGTGAGTTTGTTTGAAGGCT